ATCTATCTATCTATCTATCTATCTATCCATCTATCCATCTATCTATCTATCCATCTATCTAGAGCTGTAGGAAATGTGAGCTTCTGTACATTAACTATTTTGGATGTTGAAGGTCTAAGGTTGTAAACAGCTGTTCTCTGCTCACAGACCTGCTCCAGCGTGTTCACCTCCAGACCGGGCAGTGTGAACTTGAAGTACGGCCGCAGGTTCTTGTAGACGTAGATGCAGGGTCCGGATGCCACGGCGACGGCGGGGATCCGGGGCTCGTGCAGGTCCATGAAGAAGGCGACGAGGCCGGCGGGCAGGTCCAGCAGCGTGCTCTCGCTCATGAGCGCCGTGCCGCGGTACACCTTGAGCTTCATCCCGGAGCAGCCGGAGCCCAGGTCGCCCACCACCAGCCGGCTCTCCCCGTCGCCGCTCAGGTCGGCCAGGTCCACGCAGGACGAGAAGGTGTAGAGGCCCGCCACCGGGTCGTAGTGGGCGTCCAGCCACTTCCCCCCATCACCGCTCCACTCCCCCGATGACATGACAGCAGGACGGACAGGTGAGTTCTGGACAAACAGTGACAGACATCACAGCTCTGGTTTAGGGTGATTCTACTTCTATCATTTATCCAACTCTACTTTCCTTTTCCTTTATAAGTCAGTCTGACATTTTCCTTCTAATCACGTCTGTCTGATGGTTGTCTTCATATTTTATCTGTTTAATTATCAGTTTGTGTTTATGCTGAAGTGGTCCAGATGTTTCTCAGTGAGACACTTGACCATGACTCGGGTTGAGTAGTTTTAGATGCTTTTCAGGTCATAGTTAACTTCTGGTGAGTCATTGTAGGAGGACGACCACTGCAGCCCTGATCAGTGCTGCTGTGGCTCCTTCTGGACCTCCTGGTTCCTGCTCACACTGGGCTGCACTGGGTTCTAGCTGCTCACTGATCTTCTGGATCCTTCTCCATCTTTGTCCAGTCTCTCAGTCAGATGTTTCTCCTCCTCTGTTCAGGTCTTCTCCATGTGGAGCCATGATGCAGACATAGATAGACACAGTCCAGAGGTCCAGAAGTGAGAAGGTTCTGCTGGTCTCAGCTCTTTGTAGAACCATGTTCATGCAGGTGGACTGATGGAACCACAGCTGGACTCACTTTGGTTCTCTGAGGTTCTACTCTGGAGTCTGAATGTTCAACACAGTCTTTACAAAGTCATTGTTTCTGGTTGTTCATGCGAGCAAATACTGTGCTGTTCCACTGAGAGATAATAGAGATCACATCGACTATAAAGCAGTGGCACAGTTTGGACATGTACTGGGCTTAAAGAGCATTTTCTCAGCCTTGTGGCTACTTTAACTGCAGCATTAGCTTTAGCCCCATTAGCTTTAGCTTAGCTTTATGAATGACGCGCTAGCTGCAGTTAGCTCACCCCACTCACATATTTAATGGTCCATAGCTCTGATAACGCAATGTTATTGACAGAACAGCTGATCAATAACAGATATACCGATAATCGCTCCTCCCCCTCCCCCTCCCCGGCTCACCGTTGTCAAGGCAACCGTGTCGCTGAGTCTCCTCTCGCTGCTCGTCCTCCGCCTCTGATCGCAGTTGTTCCGCAGCGCAGTGACATCAAACGATAAACGACGTTAGAAACTGTTCGTTGGAGTCAGATTAAGATCCAGATGAAGCGTTAAAGCAGAAGACATCTGCCACTGACGCTGGCCGAGCCTCTAATCCACAAATCCGATCCAAACCCGCTGCTCTGCGCCGTCGCCCTCTGATGACGTCATCCCCACCCGCCGGTGTTTACTTCTTATTTCACGTATTTTTATTATTTGTTTTTAACGCATTAGAAATTCACCACAGTAAACATACAAAGAACAATATCGACTACTTTGTTATTTTTAACATCATAATGACAATCGTATTTAGCATTTTAATAATTTTATATAATCAAGTCTTACGTCATGGTTCTTTGGTACTTTTATGACATTTTCTAAAAACTGTTTATATAAAGAAACGCATTTATTTCTATTTTATCATTAATTTATCATTTATTTAAATCATATCTAAATATGTTATATATATATATACATACATCAGAACTTCTGACTTTTATTTACGTTAGTTACATTTTTTATTTTTATTTATCTAAAGTTCAATTATAATAACAATAATAATTCAGCAAAATGTACTGTGTTACAGCAGCGAAAAGAGGCAATGCAAGAAAGGAGCATCAGGAGAAAAATAATGAAAAATAAAAATAACAAGAAAAAATAAATAAATGAAGAAGAAGAATTGTTGTTGTTGTTGTTGCTGTTGTTGTTGTTGTTGACATTGTGTCGTCTTTCATGAGCAGTTGTCATTACTTATCTGTCTTCAAGTGATTTATTTTTATTTTTTTACTGAAAAATAAACACTGCTTTTCACGTCTTTGTTTACCTTTTTCCAGACTAAAAAACACACAAATCTGTGTTTACATCACGGAGTGTTTACCAGAAGATAAGAGAAGATAAACTTTATTGATCCCTGACTGGGGAAATTCACATGTTACAGCAGCTGGATACAGATAAGGCATTAAAGAAGCAGGACAAGATCTTACAAAAGTGGTATAGGGCTAAAAAAATAAAGATTTATTAATAAAGGTCTTATGGAGATAATATACCAGACCTTGTTTTAATGTGATTTTTTCATATAAATACAAACAAATCACACATGACACTTAATATATAAATACCAAACATGGAACCAAACCCAAAAAGTCATATATCGCGTCTATTTCCACGTGCAGATAAATCTCATGAATGAATACATGAATATGTCTGCTCAGCTTCGCCAACCAGGTAGTCTCGCGAAATCGCTTCCTCGGACGCGACCAAGCTCTGTGACGTCTCCTCGTGGTCGACATCTGATTGGTCCAGCGGCCAGAGTTTAAAAAGTAGACCGCGGAAAGAGGAGCAGCAGCGGAGCTAACGTCGGATGTTTTCAGGTTTCCGCTCAGCTTGTGGGACATAAGAGACGCCCAGAGTGAGTCGCAGTTCGATCAAATGTGTGTTTAACTCCGCAGCTGTGAGCTAAAGTCGAGTTTGGTTTCCCAAAATGAGCTACAAGAAAACAGACACGCGCGTGATAGTGCGTTAGCTTGTTGTGGCTAATGCTAACAACAAAGCTAACAGCAGCTTTAAGACGTCTTCAGATCTTATTGTTGTTGTTGTTTATTCATTTCTGCCTGTTGTGTGATCGGTTCAAACTAATAATTGAGACGAGTTGGGTTTTTCTGACCGCTGCGTGGGTTCTTCTGAGCCCGCGGGACTGCCTTCAGCGGACTGCGGTGCTTTGGTGCTGGTGGTTCAGAGGTCACGTTTAAAATAAACGCATTTTAGCGATGAACGCGCTGTTCGTTCAGGCGAAGATCAGGCGAACATAAGGATGCATGATACCGGGAAAAATACAGGCATTAGAATACTGGGATAATTTAAATCAGGGGTTCCCAAAGTGGGGGTTCGCGACCCCCCAGGTGGTCCCGAGGCCCCGAGAAGGGGTCGCAGGATGGACTTGCTCCATGCAGAGTGCCCACCCATCTCATTAGTTGAGATCAACACTGAAACATAGTTATTCCCAAAATGTACATTTGCACAGCAGCGATGTTCGCATGTGGTGGCTGTTACTGTGACTGATATTCTTCTGCTTATATGGAAACTAAGCTGTGTAAGTCAGTACTGTTCACTCACAACATGGAGATTTCCATCCTGTAGTAAACTGCTGTATGTAAAATCCTGTCATGGTTGTCAGGCTGTTCGGTTCCCCTTTGTTGTCGTTCTGTTTGGATTCACGTCCGGGGACAGCGGGGGTCGCCAGTCTCAGGAACCGTTATTCTGGGGCCTGACACGTTTGGGAACCCCTGATTTAAATAACAACAGGGAACAAATTGGCTTCTCACGCGGTGTAACGCTGATAGACATCTAAAATTACTTTATCTTTAGATGTCATTCGGGTCTTTGCACTCATCACACAGAGCTTTGTGCTGCTCAGTTAAATGGTAATAAAACTAACAACAGCTGCGGACAGAGAACCTGTTGGTAGCTGAAATATTTCTATATTACTGTGGAGGGCTGTACCATTATAATCTTGTACTACAGTAATCATAATCCCAGTTATTTGTCACAGTCGTTCGTTGATTACAGGGCGTACATATGTACTGAGTTCTCACATTTAAACAGAGCAACGCTTTGTTTACTTCATTCCTGCTAATGTACAAATCTGCATTTAATTAGAAATAATCTTTAGCTGAATTCAGAGCATCTAATGCTGATCGATTATATACTAAACTGAACCCAGAGCCCTTGCTGGCTGAACATCAGCTGACCAACAGACTCTCCGGTGTGAACATGTTCCCTAAACACCTCACAGTCATCAGGACGTACAGAACATCTTGCAGCCGCAGGTGAAAATAAAAGAGGTGGTGCTGAAGTGACAGATGTTCACCTGCTGTGTGTTTGAAGAGATGATGGAGTCTTGTTTAGCCGGGAAACCGGAGCGCGTCGGACCGGTGGAGGTGGACGACATAAAGAGAGACCTGCTGGGTGACTTCGCTGCTCTGCCTGCACAAGTAAGTCTCCCCCGTCCCTGATCAGGAGGATGCTGTGAAGGCAGGTTTGTGACGGATGCTGTTGTTCTCTCAGCAGGACAGCGCTCAGTCGCAGACAGAGAACCTGCAGGTTTACCTGAGAGTTCGACCTTTCACTTCAGCTGAGAGCGACAACGGAGAGTCTCAGGTAGCGCACCAACATTCACTCTGTAAAGCCTGCAGTCGTATTTGTGTCTGTGTGTGTGTCTTCAAAACAAATGGATGCGTAAAAAAAGATTTGGTTGTTAAAATAATGCATTTTTCTGTCAATCAACTGAACATCTAATTGTGATTTGAAGCTGATTCCTGTGAGCCAATCAGAATGCAGCAGCTGTGTTTCGTCTGCAGGACTGTGTGACCATCGAGGGGCCCGACACTGTGGTCCTCAAGGCCCCCAGGAGCTGTCAATCAAACCGACAGGGTGACAAGTCCCTCCCACAAACTGCACAGAGGTTCGCCTTCACACAGGTAGCTGTGACATCACCACCTGTTTATCCCCATTTACACCTGTCCACCTGTGGCTGTCAGTCTGTCTGTGGGTGTCCATGATGTTGTGTTGTCGAACCTTTTTGAACTGTTTCGTGCTGCTGTGCTGTTGAGGTGTTCGGTCCGGAGGCCAGTCAGAGGAAGGTGTTTGATGGTTCTGTTCGTGGTTTGGTCCGAGACGTCCTGCAGGGAGGAAACTGTCTGGTGTTCACATATGGAGTCACCAACGCTGGAAAGACCTTCACCTTCCTCGGTCAGGAACCACCTGTCTGTCTGATTAAACGTCTGTCTGTCTAACAGTCTGTCTAACAGTCTGTCTGTCTGTCTGTCTGTCAGGTCCGGACCATGACTCCGGTCTGCTGCCCAGGTCTCTGTCTGTGATCTTTAACAGCGTTGAAGGTCGTCTGTACAGTCGCTGCGACCTGAAGCCTCAGCGCTGCAGAGACTTCAGCAGACTGACTGCAGACCAGCAGGCGGCAGAGAGCAGCAGCAAGAGGAACCT